AGTAGCCCCTGGCGTCATGCTCTACGCCAATTGAGCAAGGACTTATAACCGGTAACTGCTACTTCCCGTGTTGTTTCGACGCTGTATGCGAAGCTGGAGTGTCCTCTCCAGAGCACGAAGCCTAGGTAAAGTAATATGGAGGATAGGCTGTTACCCAAGCAGCAAATCCCCCTTCTCCACATCGCTGAAATAGTCCAGTGGAAAGGCAAGAGCCAGTACAACTGTTTCCAGTGACGTCGCAGGAGTTGGCGGAATGACATAAACTGACTCCGAGACTCCGGCTCCGGATTTTGCCTTGATGTTATCTCCTGAAGCCCTTTCCATAAGTGGATATAGCCACAAGGCAGTGGAGGGTTAAAGTCGGAGTTTTCCTTCTCCTAGATGGGCTGCCTTCCAGGGCTGACGAGCCCCACCTACCCGGCCTCCTCTCTAATAGTGTGGACCAGCAAACAGTTGGTTATTGACATGACATGATACAGCCATACAAATACATCTCTAAAATATAACAGAAGTAAACATTTTTATTCAGAAGACTTTTTTAAAAGTATCACATCTTTACTTCTCAATTGTTACTAAAGTTAGTTTAAAATTTGCATTTTACAGTGTTTTACTAATGAAACAAGTTGCTACTTTTTATTTAAATTTTAATGGCTTATATTTGGAAGGGTAAATCTTGTTCTCAATTAAAATATATTTTGATAAACAAACCACAATATAATGTATGTCTGGCAGTCATGTTTTATCAGTACAGGCAGATCCCTATTTTCCATCTCACCTGTATGCAGGAGCAATTATGTAATTTGTATATATATTCTACTGAAAGAACGCATCCATTGCATAAAAATAAAATAAAAACAAGCTGCTGGCAGCCATCAACACACCTTTTCAAGCACAGGCTACCCCAGGTAAGCCCTAATTTCCAGAGGATTTATGAACTAAGGCACATTACTATCAGTAGGTAACATTTTAATCTCTAATGTAATAGACAGCAGGAAGGCCTCATACAAACAGGGAACCTGAGAAGATCCAGACAGACCTAAAATACGGTTTTGATTACTGCGTAATTACAGATAAATCAGACTCCTGAGATCTGGAAACTGGGTACACTGTGGGAGGTATTCTGGTAACAATCAAGAACATTGCCGTGGGATGTCTGCGAGCTTTCACACTTCACTATCTTTCTGCAAAAAGTCAGTCAGCGTTCCAGTATCCACAGGAATAAATAAATATTCCACTCCATCAGCACCCTGAAAATAAGCACATTGTGTACATTAGTTCAGAGGTGTAACAAGGGCAAAGTATTTTGAAACATTAAAATTCCAGTATGCTGACAAGTATTTGTTCATAGAGGTTACAGTGCACGATGCATTACTGCAATAAAACAAACTGAAACTTTGATTTTCCAAAGGTTTTTGCTTGAATTTAAAACTTACATACAAGTCAGAATGTTTTACTGCAGACTCATGGCTCTCCATACATAAAAATGGAGGGGAAATGTTCAGCCCTAAACTCATGTTGAGTTTTATCTTGTAAGGAGGTCATCATCCACTGATCAAAGAAAAAATAGTTTCTTGATACAGACTGCAAGATTACTTATCAAACAGCCAGATTTTGTATTGTGATATTCAGGCCTCGGAAATTCCATGGTACAGTAACTAGATACAGTGGTGCCTCGCTTAGCGAGTGCTTCGCTATGCAATGAATTCGCATAGCGAGGGGGTCCGGGCCATCGCTGGAGCGTTCGCTCAGCGATGGCCCCTATGGCAATTTTTCGCTTTGCGATGATCGCTAAGCGATTCGCTTAGCGATCTTCGCAAAACGAAGCGGGGGAGAACAGCTGATCGGCGGTTCCAAAATGGCCGCCGGAAGGTCCGCGCCGCATTTTCGCGCCCTGCCCTCGCTTACCAAGGGCGCGAAAATGGCGGCGCTATGGAAGAAACATCGCTTAACGGTGAGTTTTCAAGCCATAGGAACACATTGAACGAAGTTCAATGCGTTTCTATGGCTTTTTTAAGACTGCAAGATTACTTATCCAATAGCCAGATTTTGTATGGTGATATTCAGGCCTCGGAAATGCCATGGTACAGTAACTAGATACTAGATTTTAAATTGGGTTTTAAATGCCAATTTTTTATGAAGTACCTGAAATTTTGAAATCGGTGAGTTTTCAAGCCATAGGAACACATTGAACGAAGTTCAATGCGTTTCTATGGCTTTTTTAGTCCCGTTTAGCGATGTTTTCGCATAGCGAAGGTTAATCCGGAACGGATTAACCTCGCTATGCGAGGCACCACTGTACTAGATTTAAATTGGGTTTTAAATGCCAATTTTTATATGAAGTACCTGAAATTTTGAAATGTTATGGTAGATAGATACTAGATTTTAAATGGTCTTTTAATGTCAAATGTTTTTATAAAGTATTTGGAATTTTGGAAACTGGAAATGTCTATTTTTTCCCCAAGTGATTGGTCTAAGGACCATAACAATAAACTGTGGAGATTAACAACCGATTCATCCTATACATGAGATTCCATTTTCCAACAGACATTCTACTGGTATTTACTGATTATCCAAATCATTATTACAGATTCTTTCAACAACTCTGACATGGCAAACTAAATGACCATATTAGCTTTGCATTTAAGGTAACCTAACTTACCTTCTTGGTCCGAATAAGCTTGTGATCCCTGAATTCTGTGAGCTGCGCTCTAAGAGTTAGGTCACTATTGACCAGAAAGGCCTCCCGGCACTGTTGGTAGAAGTCATGGAAGGAAAGCCCTAGTAAGGGAAGAAAGGAGATAAGTAATGTTTCATGTTCTCAGCACTTCCTGATGACGCCGAGAACACGTAAAATTCTTTTCCCCGCCCCCAAAGGCTCTAATATGAAATGCATATAGCAAGACTTTTTAAAAAACAAAAATGTATTAAGAATGCAAACCAAGGGACTCGTGTTCAAGCTCAGAGCATCTAGGAGTCACTGCTCACCATGAGGATCTGTCTGTTCATTTAGACATAATGCTGCTGCACAATTTGATGAATTAATCCCATGCTCACCCCCTCCTTGGGTGCTCTGAATTCCCCTTTCACTTGGAAATAAGACAAACTAAGGATTGCGCAAATAAAAGTCTGCTTAAAAGCCAGAACTGTAAATCTAGCTCAAAGTGTCTGTGTTTCTTTGGTCTGCTGGACCTCCTGATGGCTTTCAATACCAATGGTATTCTTCTGATTTGCTTTCCTCGGACAGCGTTTGGAGGCTCTCCTTTGCAGTGGCTCTAATCTTTCCTTGAGAATGTTCAGAAAGTAGTGATGGAGGACTTCTATTTGAAGTTCCATCTGTTGTTCTTTGGTGTGATTCAGGGCTCCATTTTTGTTCCCCGTGCTATTTAACACATTAGTGAAATTTCCAGAACACGGTATCTGTAGTTTGGGAATTCAGTGCCAACAACTTGCTGGTATCTCTCCTTCCTACCTAGCTTGAAGGATTGTTAGCAGTTCTTTATGCCACTGGAGTGACATTTTCTGAAATATTGAATATAACTGGAAATTCATAGCTTTCTCAGCTAGCATCTTGTACTGCTTGCTGATATCCTCCATAAAAATCATGGATAATATTTTGTGCATGCTCCATTAATGCATACAGCTAAATTAACTTTACTTAGCCCTACCCAACCACTTTCTCAAATCTATTCATGTCCATATATAATGCTAACTGGGCTTGATTTTGAGTAGCTGACATTTGCTTGTGTTATCTCCAGGCCACTACTTACTGCTATTAGTTGTGCAAGCATACACAACGTTAACACAATATTTACATTAGTAAAATTATACAGTTGGACACAAGATCCAGTATGGTTCTTGTTTTCACTTTAAAGTTACACTGTATTTTAACGAAAGGTTAATAAGAATCAGAAGAGCAACCGTTCCTACAAATCACAAAGTCCATGTCCAGTGTTACAACATTTTAAAAGAATACTACTTAACACTAAATTGCCTCTCCTCAAAACAGAAGTTTCAGTATATTTATACAGGGACTAGTAAATACACAAGCTTAAGAGTTTATGCCCTCCACCAAAAGTGTTGCTTGAGCGTCACCAGTTTTCATGGTACCAGCAAAACATTAGCTTTGCCTCTCAAAAGAATCAAAATGAAATCATAAGAACTGGTACATTACTCACCTGGGCATGAGGGGTTGTCTTTATTCTCTAACTGATACTCTGCCAAAAGTCTGAAAATCCCTCTGAGAAGAAAAAGATCCGACAGAACGTAAGACAGAAACTTACTTATTTCCAGAAAACAACATTATAGGACAAAACATGTTTGAATTCAGAAAATAAAAAGGTTTGAAAACTGTACACAACCACTTTTCACATGATTTATTTTCTGTTCTATAATCTTCTGGGATTCTACTTAACACTAAAGTAGCTCTTCCTCTGATGAAATACTGCTTCGTTCTCTTTTTAGTCCTTACTGAATACCCAGGTTTTTAACAGCCTTTTCCCAAGTAGGAATGCCTTTCTTGAGCACAGGTTTCATCCCCATATGGGTATGCTAAATTTCTGTTGTTGTTGTTGTGTGCCACCAAGTTGCTTCTGACTTACAGGAGCCATAAGAGGGTTTTCAAGGTATGTGATATGTTCAAGGGAAGGTTTACCGTTGCCATGCCCCAGTGAGCTTCCACTGCCCAGAGATATTTGAATCCAGGTCTTCCAAGCCCTAGATCAACCATGTATACACCATGCTGGCTCTCTCAATTATCCATACATAGTCAACAATTTTTATGTACTCATGCTCTGGAAGTATCAGGTATTTCTAAACAACTCTTCTGACAGACAATGAAGGAGATGAAAATATAATCTTTGAAGAAGTATATTAGATATTACTGTATTCTCCAGCCTGGTTCTCTCCAGATGTTTGAGATTTAGCTCCCGTCAGTCCCAGCCACCCATCATAAATCCTGGACCAGACATATAGCGACCACCAGGCTAAAGGTAGCCAATCCATAGTATTATAGTTGCACCACGTGTCTCAAATAAACTCCAACCCAAGATCTGTCTGACCCCTTCACTGGGGACCTTTAAGAGACTTTTGAAAATGTGGTTATTTAAACAGGCATTTCAAGATACTAAATCAGCAGAGAGCAGAGAATCTTCTAGCTTTTAAGTTACCAATTCTGCCATCTTGCTTTTATCAACTGTTTTCTATGTTTTCTTTTTAAGTTTAATTGATTGATATTTGTTTATTCTGAAGTTATGTTGTTTTTATGTTTGCGTATATTAATGTGCTTTTGCTGTTTATTTTGCTGTGAACTGCCCAGAGTATTTATTCTGAAGTTATATTGTTGTTATGTTTGCGTATATCACTGTTTATTTTGCTGTGAACTGCCCAGAGTGGCCTCAGTAGCTAGATGTGCAGTATACAAATAAAATAAAACACATAAATATTACAAGGAATGATGTGGGTCTTTAATGTGAAGCCCCATCTAGAGCAGAAACAATGAATCACTGAGATTTACAAAATTGTGGACGTGCTAGTCAGCAATTGATTCAATAGTTGAAATCCTGTTGTGTAATTCCACATGCACAATGGAGCCATCATCACCAGAAACAAATCATCAATGATAAAAGGTGATTTTGAGGTGTATGTGACTCTTATATAATGCAACAAAGTCACATGGAGCCCCAAATCACGAAAGGAAGCATTTAAACAGTGGCAATCTGCCCCTGCTGATGACATCATTGCCACTGCACACATGGAGCTATGCAACAGGCTTTCAGCCACTGACTCTAACTGGGGCTGATTATTGTATTTAGGCAATTTTCACCTGTGTTGTGTTAAATATTAGATCACAGTAATTCTGTGGTGTTAGGAAAATACAGGGTTCAGATAGCACATCCCAATCTGTGATAAAGAAAACAAGTTTCTTTCTCCAGCTGAAATACTCCGGGGGGAGGGGGGGAGAATGGACATATTACCTTTGACCTGAAAACTAGATCCCTGGTCACAACAAAGCTACTCTTTTGCTGTGATCAAGTGAATGTGGCTTTCTTACCTTGCATTTGGAGTGAGACTACGTAGCACATGTGTGAGGGAGCTTAAAGCCAAAGATCCAGACTGTTGTACCAAGAGTGAGTTCTCATAAGACGTTTCTTCTACATAAGGACTGTATGTGGTTGTTTCATACCACAACCAATTGTACATGCTTTGCTTTGCCTGATCCCACACTACAAGAGCAAAAGACAAATAAAAGTAAAGAAAGATTAAAAAGTGTAATATTCAGACATAGATTTTGGAATTCAGAGGGCAGGATTGGAATTCCAAAAATTATTGCATCAGATTCCATTCTGAATTAAGAGTTGAAATATTTATCATTCTTGGGAAATTTCTAACTGGAATTGTTTAACACAAAGAAAATATCTGTGTAATTTCCAAAAAAAAGGGTACATGGTAGATTGTCCAGTCTGCTTCTTACAATTCCATTTTTATTATTTGAATTAGGCCTACGATACAAATTGAGAAAGTGTTTATGACTTTATTGTAACAATCTCTATGAAGTTAAAAGCGTAAGTTGAATACAGTGGGGTCTTGACTTAAGAATGGCTCGAGTTAAGAACATTTTGACTTAAGAACCACTCTCATAGGAAAATATTGACTTGACTTACATACTTAGATTTGAGTTAAGAACTGAAAAAAAACCACGTGGGAGGCAGGGAAAGTGCAAAATTTGAACTTTCAGTTAACTGTTGGCCAGTGAAAAGGGTGCCTGTCTGCTTCCTCACTCCTCCCAGCGTTTAGAGAGTGGATTGGGAGACAGTCTTCGGACTGCCTGGTACTGCCTGGACTGTATTTTCCCTGCCTTCCCTGAACCTTTCTTGACCTAAGAAAAAAAGAAACAATATATCCCCCTCTAGTGGTCGAAGGCAGAATAGCAGCTTCCCATTAGTTTCTATGGACGGAAAAGAGCAGATACGGATCAAATGGTTTTCAATGCATTCCTATGGGAAATGCAGATTTGACCTGAGAACTTTTTGACTTGAGAACCGCCTTCCAATATGGATTAAGTTCTCAAGTCAAGACCCCACTGTAGTTATTTTAAGTACTTCACTGTTTAATAAGCCATTTTAATAAATAGTTATTTTCTACAACCACTTTCTAATGCTCCTTGGAGAATGCCTAGAATACATAAGACCTACTGGGCTCATCTCTACAGCGTTGGAAGCACTAAGCAACTAATTACTACTCACCCATTCAGTCATTTTGTGATCTAGAATCACCAATACAGTTTGCCTTACCCCTTCCCTGCCTTTGTTCATGGAAGCACTGACAAGTTTAAAGAGAAGAGGCTCCTGCTTGCATGTAGAGCTGGGCAGGAACTGAAAAACTAACTAATCAGGCCAGTTCATGTTTCAGCAAGGCAAGCTGGCCCACTGTCTCTGCACATCTGCCCACCTATCAGCTGGGCAGCATGGGCACGGGTGGAAGCAGTGGCCCAGCTTCCTACAGCCAACTGTGCAGGTGCCCTCCACCCAGCTGATAGATGGGTGCATGCACAGAGGCAGCACCCAGCTCAGGGAAGCAAAGCCAGCCCGCTGTCTCTTCGCATGTGTCTGCCGATTAGCTGGGCAGAGACAGCAGGCCGGCTTCCCTTCCTGGAGCCAGATGCTACCTCTCATGATGATGGCTGTGGTGGTGGTGGCGGTGGCAAGATCAGGTAGGAAGGTGACAGGGCAGTGGGAAGGGGTGAGTGGGCAGTCCCCCCACCTATCCAGAATGAACCTGAAAAACCAAACCGCAAAGCTGGCCCGCTGTCTAACAATGGTGGCAGCACAGCAGGAGGAAGAGGAAGCAGGGCCAGGTAGGGAGATGACGAATACATAATGAATACATACACAGGTCTGAAAGGTCCAAAAATACTCACTGAGTGGTGCATTAATGTGATCAATAGAAGCTATGAGGTAGATGTTGGGAAGGGACGACAATTGCCCTATGATTTGCTGGCTTTTTTCTCCTCGCAGCATCTGGCTGTCCAAGTTATGGATAAGCAAATAGAGCTCCAAGAGGGGATCTGGCAAACACACAGCAGCCGGAAACAAAGGTTTAAAAAAACTAAGCTGACGAGGAAGGCTTTCTCGTGTAATTTGAGAACAATGGCTGACAGTTGTCATCTAGGAACAGTCCGACAAATTATCTGTCGTTACTAATTACTTCCAAAGATCACAACAACAGCTTATAGTAAGACACAGGTATTCAGGCCAATCCACTCTTAAGTTTCCAGGACTCCAGAACTCATAGTTACTTAACAATGCAACATAAATATTCTGAACATTCAGATCAAGGTTAAAAGGCCTTTTAGCTTTAATTCATACTATAATATTTATGGCAGGCATCACCATGCCTGTTAGTTAGTTTTAAAACCAAAGCAGACACCATAAAATACTTGAGGAAAAAAATAACGTTTGAAACTTATTTATGTTTGGGTCACTCCCTCTCCCCCCCCCAACCTTTGCAGGCCACTGTATGCCCCCAAATGTGTTCTCGAACCTTGGGAGACCCTCTGGAACTGTCAGTCGTAAGAAGAGGGAGGAGGGCACAGGAAGGAAGATGGACAACTGGAAGGATAATTGGTAGGCCATGAATACAAAATTAAGATGGAACTTGTGACTCTGACCCTTAATAACAAAGCGTTCAAAAGAGTCATTTTGGAATGGCAATTTTTTTTATTAGTTGTGCTTGTACTCTGAAGACTTGCACCCATACTATTCCATGGAATTTAGCACAGATTCTGACTAAAACTCCAAATTTCCCTTCCTTCCTTTCTTCCGTCTTCTTCTAATAGGATAGATTTCTATTTCTCTTGATTTCAGAGGAATATTTTCATAGCACTTTTATATGTGTTCCTTAAAATTTTTTTACATAGAAAGAGCATGAACTTTTAAAAAGTTATTTTAAAAGGAAAAGTTATTTCCTTACATGTTGGCAGCTAGCTCAGCAGGCACAGCATTGTAATCAGATGATTTATCTTTTAACATTAATTTGTACTGACACATCTGACATATACACATAATAATGATGCATAACCATGAGAGTGCACTAGACTGAATAGTAGAAAGCAAAGCATTGGCTACTACTACATTATGCTACAATGTGTCGATCAAGCCAATACAGTGGTGCCTCGCTAGACAATTGTCTTGCGGCACAAAAAACTCACTAGACGAATGGGTCTGGCTAGGTCTTTTGTGCCTCGCAAGACGATCGTTCCTATGGCCGTTTTGCAAGACGAAGCCCCGGGAGGCTTCTGAAAGCAGCGCTTTGCCATGGGGGGTGCTGGGCTAGCCTCTGCAAGCGCTGCTCGCCGGCTTTGGGGGTCCCCCGGGGCTTACCTTGCACCATCCCAGGACTCGCGGGGGTCCCTCTGCGCAGCGATGGGCGTTTACAGAGGTTTGCCTGGCACCACTTTTGAAGTTCCAGCCCTTTCCCCCTGCCTTCGGCAAGTCTTGGAAGGTAAAAAGAAAAAATAATAAAGACTTCATTTTTTTTTCTTTTTACCTTCCGAGGCTTGCCAAAGGCAGGGGGAAAGTGCGGGAACTTCAAAAATGGTGCCGGACAAACCTCTGCAAATGGCCATTGCCGCGTGGAAGGACCCCCGTGAGTCCTGGGATGGTGCAAGGCAGCGATGGGCGTTTACAGAGGTTTGCCTGGCACCACTTTTGAAGTTCCAGCCCTTTCCCCCTGCCTTTGGCAAGTCTTGGAAGGTAAAAAGAAAAAAAAATAAAGAGTCCTTGGATGGTGCAGGAAAAGCCTCTGAAGTGCTCTGAAGCCAGCGTGCGCAGTTGCGGGGCACCCCCACCAGTATTCCAATGGCTTTCTCTGCACCATCGGAACACTTGCTTGGTTGCCCCGCAACCGCGCGCGCTGACTTCAGAGCACTTCAGAGGCTTTTTCTGCACCATCAGAGGCCTGGCGGGGGATCTCCAAAGCCAGCAATCGCGGCGAGGGGACCCCCCTGCCAGTCCTCCGATGGTGCTTCCCCAGCTCCCTACCTGGTGACTTAAAAAAAAAAAAAAACCATAGGAACGCATTAATTAAATTTCAATGCATTCCTATGGGAAAACAGGCCTCGCAAGACAAATTTTTCACAAGATGGCATTGACCGTGGAACCAATTAACCTCGCAAGACGAATTTTTCGCAAGATGGCATTGACCGCGGAACCAATTAAATTCATCTTGCGAGGCACCACTGTACCTCAAAGTTTACAGAAGCAAGTACTATGACTTACAGCAATCAAAGTTAATTTATTAGGAAGCATGCTTAGCATCAATGCATTTGAAAATAGCTGTGTGTATTTAAACATAAAGCAGCCAATTACTAGATTTATTCAAGTTTGCCCATCTAAACATTTACCTTCTCTAAATTTTTTCATGATCCAGTCCAACTGATCCTGGGGACTGCGAAAAGCACCCACATGATCCAGCACTTCCTCAGTTACAGAATTCAGAATCTGGCACAGAAAATCGGCAGGTCATCATCCTTTTTTTTTTTTTTTTTTTT